CTACTACCACCACCACCACGACCACGACCACTACCACTACCACTACCACTACGACGACGACCACTACGACGACGACGACTACGACGACGACGACGACTACGACGACGACGACTACTACTACTACGACGACTACTAGCAGCTGCAGGAGGAGTTATAGTAGTCGTCGTCGTGTTGTAGTAGTAGTAGTAGTAGCAGCAGCAGCAGCAGTACAGTAGCTGTAGTACCAGGTAGTAGCTAGTAGGTAGTAGTTGTTGCTGTTGTTGAGTAGCAGCAGAAGGAAGAAGCGCAAGAAAAAAGACGTGTTAGTCTTGAGAGATCAACCTCCCAGAAATCACCACTCTGCTCCGGACTCCAGAGCCAAAAACATCGGGCTAAAAATCTTCCTTCGCCGCCATCACTCAGGAGCTGACTGCCCCATGTCTTCGGCACACTTCGCGAAAAAGCTGCAACCTAGCTCGGCTTCAGCTTGACTTTGGAAGCTTCGTGAAGAGTCTTAGTCTTAGTGTCGGGCAGTGCATCTCGTACTTCCACTTCGGCCTCGAAGTTGGCACCCTGCGTTCCGGCTTGAGACACACTGTTCATCTTGTGTTCTGGCTCTCGTTCGTAGTCTCAACCCCGAGACCTCCAGCACACTACTCAATTATCAGTGGCCCTGTCCCGCCCAAGGCATTGCACGACGGTTTCCAGCCTGCTCAGAAAAGCGGAAGAGCTGCTCAAAGAAGGGTATGTCCTCCGCATTGGGGTGTCATATTATACCAGATTAGATCCAGCATGAAGACCACGACCAGGACCGGGAAACCGCGGACCAGATTCCGGACCACTGCCATAATGTGATTCCCAAATGGGCTGGCGGGATTCAGAGACACGACCAAAATGCTTCCAACACACAGCCGCAACATTGGGCGGGACGACTCGTGTCTGAATGTTTAAGACTTGGGACATGGGCACAGACTATGCCACTATCCCCGATATTTCCCGGTGTGCCGCAGCTGGAGAGCGGAATATTCCGGTCACAGGACTCTCCAGTCGCCCCCTGGCTTGAAGCCGCGTTCTTTTTGCGTTCGTGGCTCTGCGAGCCGTCCAAAAGGACTCCGACGATGTCCGATGCACATTAAACCACTCACGTGCGCCATGAGGAGGTCCTTTGGACGATCCCCGAGCACAAGCAGCGGATTTAAGAGCAAGATTTCTTGGTTCGAGACTCGAGACCATGCATGCAAGCGTTGGTGGCCTGCACCTACAAAAAGGGAAACACCATCATGGCGCAAGCTGCGACCTGGCGACCACAGTGGGACGCCAAACAGCTCCTCCCCAAAAGCCTAACGATGCCAAATTGCTCGTCTACAAAAACTGGGCAACCTACTGGAAGCCTTGTCCCACCATTACCCCTGTTTGTTTTTTCCAAAAGTAAGAAAGGTCTGGTTACGAGTTCACCTTGATGAAAAAGCAAGAGCGCGTCATGGATTCGCCTAAAAAGCGCTTGATGTATATAACCCTATCCTAGCTCGCACTAAATGATGCTGGAAGTGATGGTTGGGTCTTCCATGGATACACGAAGCAGAAAGCCTTGGGGGCCTGCCCCGCAGTACTTTGCCCAGGAAGCAAAAACAAGCATCAAGCAACACTATGCCCTCAGCACGACATTTCCATCACTCCATTTGTTGCCGCTGCCGGAAGGGACCACGATGACGCCTGCTCTATGGAGAGGTGTCCCATAACAGCCTGTTGCTGAAGAAGGATCTCTGTGATCATGTGGCACATGTTCGTGGTGTCAGTCTCTGGGTCCTGCGTGCGGCTCCAATTCTCACTTGTCATTTGGACTTGGACGGTCTCCCCTCGAATCTGGAAGTTGCAGCGTGATACACATGTTCTGAACACGAAGCAGTTCTGCACCGCCAAGGTGAATGCACTCATATCTGAAAGGTCAACATGGATCAGCTTTCTGCCGTCAATGTTCGGTGAAGACTCGGTAACAATCGCAAGGTTGGCAAGCAGATCAACCAGAACAACCAGGAATGCGGACAAGCCCACCAGCTTGTTGCCTCTCGCGTTTGAAATACAGTCGGGAAGGAACTCTAGCACGAATGCACGGTCAGACATGCCATCAGCCAAGAAATGCGACATCAATCGCATCCTCGCTCGCTGGCTACAGGTGCACCATGCCTTGCGCAAAGCAATGTAGGCATCCCGATCCTGTAATCGACTCAGGCACGCCAAGCGAACGAGAACAAGATCCTCCGTAGTTGTGCAAGGCAAGCCGAGCGATCCGGCGCGGGCACTGAGATAGCCCCAGTAGATTCCCAATGGTGTCGCTTCTAGAAGACGTTGTAGCATGCAAATGCAACTAATGACTGCGTCTGCATTCTTTTTTGTCATGAACCTTGAACCTAGGCCACCTGCAATGCCACTCATAAACCCTAATAGAAAGAGGACGTAGAATTGAAAGGCTCCATCGCCGCTCTGTGAAAAGCGCTCCTGCAACTCAGCCAGGGATGCCGGGACATTCTCACCTTGAAGCATCTGTGCTAGCTTGAAGGTTTCGTGATGCAGGAGCGTGTCCTGCAGCAAAGCAACATCCTCAGCATCCAGTTTCGCAACTGACGGGACCACATTTATCTGCTCTTCCATGAGGTACAGAACTGCCCTCTCAGGATGCTTATCCTCTTCGGGAACCTGGCTCAGCAAACCTTTGGACTTCCCGAGACCTCTTATGGCCAATAGAACCAAAACAGCACGGACATGCTTCTCCGTGGGGGTAATCCACCTGACTATCTCCTGCAGCTGCTCCCACTGTAAATCCGACAGCTTGTTCGTTGATTGTACGTAAGTGTAGATATCATACCTGTTCGCCAGAAGAGCAAGTATGCCGATGCATGCAGATTCTGCACGACCTCTTTCTGCCCCTTCCTCGAAAACACTGTATGTTCCTCGGGTGGGGTGAATCTCCGGGAGAAGCCTGTGCAGCTTCTGAGGCAGCCCCTCTGCACCCAGTGTGCCATCTGTTAGCTCGACGATGAGGCTTGCGACAGCAAACTTCACTGGCTCCGCTTCCTGAAGCGGAGAGCGACCGGCCGCCGCTTCACCTTGCACATCCACGAACCCTAGGAACTCTGCCGAGTTAGCTGTAAGAATGTCTATGTTCTCGAACTGTTTCGACTGATCTGGATGGAGCTCCTGGTAGTACCGGCTCTTCTGGCAGCAGTCGCGCGCATGCCTTACCTCATCGTCATGCGTGTCACTGACGCCCCGCTGCTTCGCAATGAAGTCCCTCGCATACTCGCAGAACAGGGTGGAACAGGCAGGCGAATCACGCACTGTCGACACCAAACTGTCCCCGGACAGCATAAACATCTCGGCGATGTTCTTGGCTCTTAAAGTCGAAATGTGGATGGCAGTTTCTGCGTACAAACTGACTTCAGCAAACCAGTGGACCTCGTCGCCTTTGAGAATCCGATCATCGGGTTCTTCCAAGGATATGTCGGAAAGTGTGTAGATGCCTGCCGCGGTCATGTGTAAAGATTCAGCCCAATCACCAGCTGCAAAAACGAGCTCCCCCTTCTCATACACATGCTTTTGCAGCGTGGTGCAAACATGCGCAAAGACGTCCGGGAAAATCTCAAGGGTCAGTGAAAAGATGGGAAGCTTCGACAGGAACTTCCCCCGTTGGCCGACAAAGAGCTCCGTGTAAAGAGTCGGCGAGATCAGAGACTCATCAAAACTAAAAGCCGTCATCTTCTCAAGCTTATAATCCACAAATTTCATCACACGTCCAATAAGCTCGTACCCGGCATGTTGGCTGGTGAGATACATCCTGACTTCCCGTCGCTGACGCGCCCGTTCTTCATTCAGGGCACGTAAATCATTCAGAGTTCCCGCTACCGAAGAGATTGCCGAACCGATGACCATTAAGGAAAACATGTAGGCGCTGATGTCAAAAACCCTTTCCGTGGCACTATTCGGTGAAATCGTAGGGGGCGATGGCGAGTTGATCACATATCGTAACGAATGCAGCCATTGGACATAGATGCCTAGGTCCTTTGCACCGGATATTTCAATCCAGCTAACACTCTGAGAGGCTTCGACCCACCGCCCCAGCCAGATCCAAACACAAGCAAGAATGTGGGCCACTACCAGTATTCTGCAAGCCGTGTTGGCGATTGCAATAACCAGCATGATCCACTGCCGACCTGAGGCTGCCGCAACCTCCTGAATCATGTCGTGCAACTTCGACATCTTCAGCAGACGAACAAGGCGAAGAGCACGAACGAGGCGGGCCACACGCAACGCAGCCAGATTACCTACAGAGGTGGTAAACAGGTTGAGACAATCCAGCAGTATAAGCAGAATATCGAATAGCAGCCATGACTTCAGATACTGCATTGCGATCGTCGTGCGTGCGTAGATGAGATTTCCTCTCAGATAGACGGCCGTGTTGAAGTTGCAAAATATATCCATAAACCAGAACGCGAAGCTGCATAGAAAGGAGGCATGGAATACGAAATTCGCTTCGGTGTCCAAGTCCCAAGCAATGGCAACAGGTGTGAGGAATCCATCCAAAGTCACCAGTACAAGAGCCAGTGTGTCCCAAGCGATTCTGAAAAGCCCCTCAGGGTGCAGGGGCTTCTCCAACCAGTGTTCTCTCATGCGGACGCCAAGTGAAAGGCTGCGCGAACCTTCGATGAGTGCTGCGTTTGATCTTCGTGCAGGCTGCATCGCAGAGAGCACGGATGAAAGCTGGGTCGACAGTTCCATCCATCTGCCATGGAGCTGCGACTTTCCCCCACTGGTTCCACCTTTTGTGCTCGAGGGGTACAGCTTGAAAGTGTCCACTTCCAGATTTGGAGGGTTCTGGCACCGTCTCGAGATAGCAACGGGCTCTATAGCCTCCGGGACGAAGACTTTCTCTGATTCCTTCATGACCGCTGGGGAAGGGAGGTTAATGCAGTCCAACGTGCCCACCATTAGTGCCTGTAGACAAGCAATTTGAGCGAACGTTTGAAGGGTGCCAAGAAGAACGCGCAAAGCACATGTGCAGCTTGCCTCCAACTCATCGAGTTTGTAGTGGATGTGTTGGTGAAAAGTGTCCTTAGGTGGAGCTCCGGGAAACCCGTGAACGAGTGCATGTATTGCGCTGCTTTCGAGTTGCGACCTCAGCACGAAGAGACCGGAAGGCATGCTCGGAGCCGGAGTCGTTTGGGCTTAGGCCCACCATGGTCGAAGCGTCGGAGGGCATTGCTTCAGCTGCCCCCAGCTCAAGTATCCGACCAACTGTCTTGTAGGACATTACGTTGTGTGAAACTATCATAGACCCGACGAGCATAATATATACTATAATATATTATCATCTGCAAGCTGATGGGCATCCAGCCGTGTACCGGCAGCCCGCCAATCCCTTTTTCATGTGTTGCAGCCAAAATTCGGAATAACAGATGCATTGTACATATGAAGTTTTATAGGGTGTACCGGGCTCTTTTATAAAGGGTTCAGGGGTTTCTTGGTATTACTGGCCTGTTCTTGGGTGTCCGGCTGGGGCAAGAAGCTGTGGACCACCGCAACGGGAAAAGTGCCGCGGTGCATGCGCAAGCCGGCTTTCAACCAACAAGTGTCGCCGTGTCGCTGGAACTACTTTGCCATGCCTTGTTTTGCATCCTGCCTAAAGCCTGCATGCTGGCTGCCTGAATGGAAGCCTACAGTCAGAAAGTAGGTTCTCCACGAAAAGCCGCTAGCTACATCACCAAAGATTTCGGCTGGAGCTGCAGGCGATAGGCAAAAGGATACGAAGCTCCAGAGGAAGGGAGGAAGTGAGGCAGTGAGAATCTGTGTGAGATTGTGCGACTGAATTCGAGACAGTCGACCAGTCCGAACATCGCCAACCCTTGTCTGAGCAGAGCAACGTTCCATTTCTGACCTCTGCTTCTTGCGTGGCCTCTGCTTCGGTAGCTCCTGGCAACGCCAAATCAAAACATAATGGTATCGTGCGAAGTTGCTGAAAGAGTGCTGGCAGGACTCGGCACTGCCTCTTCTGAGATCGACGAGCGGAGAAATGCCACATTTCCGTGGATCAGGACCTGGAAAAGCGAAGCCTCGTTGAGAGAGCTGGGCAGCATGTACTGCAAAGAAGGAAAGCAACTCATTCTCGGCACCGGACCAATTCGTCAGGCAAAAGATCCTCAAAGACTGGAACCAAAAGCACCCTTCGCCCTCATCCGCAGTGCCCGAGGTATGGTACAGGAGACCGGGATCCAAGGTCGGGGCCCTCGCCTCCCCGCGCTTCCTTCTTGGCACCTGCCTTGCTTCTTCATAATTAGTCGATTGTAAGATTATCTTACTTACTATATATATATATGTATACGTATATTCTTAAATATTCTTGCTCACTTCCAGGGCTACTAGGACGGTTGCACTTCAAAACATGCGACAACTAATACCATCGTGACAAGACTGAAAAGACTGTTGGAAAGTTGGCAAGCTCCAGTTTTTCCAGAGCAATATCAAGCCGCTCAAGACTCTCACAGACACGAGGTGAAACGCAAAAGAAAATTGGATCTTGTAGCTATAAGATCAGCATAAGGTCGATGCCACTTCTGGACATCCATGAACCTCCAGCCTCCTTCTGTACCGCACAGGAGAACAGATCATAGCAAGGATGCATTGGATCTTGCACCCAGCGAAGGAGACGGTTGAATGTGTCAGGGTGAGGAATCCATGCCACATGATCAGCGACAGGGGGGGATGCTACAGCACTCGCAAGACTGCCTCAAGTCTTTTAAAGCACTGAGGCAAGTCTTGCGCGGGATGGTCCAGAGCGCAAGCAACCTTCATGAAAACTGGTTGTCCGGTCTGGTCAGGCTCTGCTAAGCGCAAGGACGCCAGCCTGCCGTTCTGCTTCATCCCGCTATGCTGAGGGGCAGTTTACTTTGAAAAAGCTTAGCTCAGATGGCCACCGTGTCCAGTCCGGCGGACCATGTTCTTCTCCATGTGCTGCTGCTTCGTCAAGATGTCTTTGATGTCATATGCAATGCTGGTTAGGTCGGTGTCCGGATCATTCACACGACCCCAGTTGCCACCTGTCATCTCAAGCATTACTCGAGTCCCTGAGAATCTGAACGCGCATCTCGAAACACAAGTCTTGAAGACGAATCGGTTCTGCACCGCGGCGATGAACTCACTCATGTCGCCGAGGTCAACCGGTAGCATCATCACAGCAGCAGCCTCCGGCACAACGTTGACAGCGGGCCGTAAATTATGAAGCAACTCGACCAGTACCTCCATAAGAAGGGTCAAGCCCACCAGTCCGTTGGATCTCGCGTTGGCCACGCAGGCCGGCAGAAACTCCAGCACGAAGGCTCGCCTCTGTAGGCCATCGGCGAGGAAGTGCTCTGTCAGCACTGCTCTCTCTGCGACGCCCAGCTGCTCCCAGGACTGGCGCAGATGCCAGTAAGAGTCTGCGTCCTGAACTCGGCTAAGGCAGGCCAGGCGCACCAGCACCAGGTCTTCCGCAGATGTCGCAGGGAGCTGCAAGGAACTGGCACGAGAGGCCAAGTACCCCCAGTAAATATCCTGGGGCGAGCGATCAAAGACATGCCGTAGCACATTGAGACCAGCGATGAAGCCCTCCGCATTTCTAGCGGTCATGAAGCGAGATCCATGGCCGCCCGCGATGCCACTCATGAAGCCCAGCAAGAAGAGCATGTAGAAGTAGAACACCTGTTCACCGTGCTTGTGCACGAGCTGTTGCAACTGATCTACGTTGGCAGGGACGTTCTCGCCCTGCATCATTTGTGCCAGGTTGAAGGTTTCATGCACGAACAAGCAGTTCTGTGAGCAGAGGAGGTATTCGTCTGAGAGAAAGGCGACAGATGGCACCACATTGGGATGGTTCGTCATCAGGTGCACAACTGCTCTTTCAGGACGCTTCATACTCCTGGGAACTTGATTAAGGACTGCCTTGGATTTACCCAGACCTCGGACGGACAGAAGCACTAGTACCGCATGCACTTGTGAAGGCGTCGTTGAAATCAGCTTCACGATGCCTTGTAGCTCCTTCCACTGATCTTCACGCAGACGGACAGCAGGAGCCTGTGGTTCGGTGAATATGTCATATCGGTCATGTAAAAGAGCAAGCAGGCTGATGCAGGAGGACTCGGCCCTGTCACGTTCAGCAGCTTGTTCAAAAACCACATGAGGGCTCACGGCTTCGTGGAGCTCCGGAATGTAGGTCTGAAGCTGGTCCTTGACCCGAGAAGAATCAAGTCCCTCTTCTGCAATTTGCTCCAGCAATCGTTCCACATCGGGATCTGCGAGGCTTGACGTCCGGCTTGATTGAGAATGGCACGGACTCTCTTTTGTCGCATTGCTCTCGTTCCTGCCAAACTCAAGGCTCTTGGACTGTAAAGCCACATCCATATGCTGGTTCAACTGCTTCAGCGCGGAGGCAACGGAGATGTTCTTGAAGAGCTGATCCGGATTGGGATACAAGATCTGATAGCACTGGTTCGCTTTGCAACAGCTTTTGGAGATCGCGGCTTGCTCTGCAAAAGGTATTTGCCTCGCATGGCTCAAATCTTTTGAAGCCCTGGCTCCGGCAGAAAGGCAAATGGAAGATGAAAGCAGAAACGAACCAGGACCCAAGGCGAAGATGAACATGACTGGCTCGGATAAATGACAATGGCACGGGCAAGCAATCTCGGGTAACTGTCGTGATGAAGGGAATCGAGGGAGGACAATGATGATGCTTCCCCTGGTGACAACGGGAAGGACGAACAACAGAATGCTGGTGATGGCGATGATTACGACGCCGATCACGCAGACAACAGCATTGTATCATCAAAAACTCGCAACCGCACAATCACCCACTCCCCGGACCACGGTATCGGCAGCAGCGGCAGGTGCAAATGAAATTCGAAGACATGTCGGGATTCCGGGAAGCCGAGTTGCAAGCCCTTCTTCTTGACTGCACTGATGTATTCCTTGGCATACTCACAGAACATTGATGTACATCCCGGCGACTCGCGAACACAGTCGGCCAGGTCGTGACCTTTGAGCACAAACATTTCCGCGAAGGTCGAGGCAGTGAGCGTAGCCTGGTGCATACTGGCTTCTGCATACAAACTGAGCTCTGCAAAGCAGGCTTCTCCTTGGATCTCGAGGGGCGGAGCATCTGTGTCATAGCCATCAACGTAGCTAAATTGTCCAGCAGTGGAGATGTAGCAATGAGTGTTCCATGACCCCGCAGTGAAGACGTACTCTTTCTGCTCGTATATCTGCTTGCTGAGAACAGCGCAGATGCTTGCAAACACATCAGGAAACAGCTCATCGCACAATGCGAAGATAGGCATTTTTTGCAAATACTTGCTGCGCTGTCCAACAAATAGTTCTGTTTGCAGCGTTCTCGAAATTAGAGTCGGGTCGAAGGTGGCAAAGGACATTTTCTTTAGCTTGTAGTCCACAAACTTCATGATTCGCGAAACCAGCTCGAAGGATGCACTCTGGCTCGTAAGATATATGCGGATCTCTCTGCGCTGTCGGGCACTGGCTTCGTTCATTGCCTTCAGCTCGTTTACGGTGCCGGCAATGGCAGAAACTGCGGATCCAATGACCACAAGGGAGAAAACGTAAGCAAGGATATCGAAGAGCCTCTCGACACCACTGGCGGGATTCACTGTTGGAGGGGATGGAGCATTGATGACATACCGGAATGCGTGCAAGTACTCGATCCAGAGCGCTCCAGCTTGGGTCGCATTTGATGTTACGATCCAGCTCTCGTGTCCGAAGTCTGCTCCGAAGTCGGGATCATAACGCACGAAGTTGCCCAACCCCCACCACATGCAAGTTAGCACATGGGCCACGACAATAATGACGAAAGTCGTATTGACAATGGCAATGACAAGCATGATCCATTGACGACCGGTCGAAGCTGCCACTTCTTGCAGGATGTCTTGAAGCTTGGACATTTTCAGCAGCCTGAGTAGCCTGAAAGCTCGAACGATACGTGCATATCTCAAAGCCTCCCATCTCCCCATCTCAGTTGGCGAGAGGTTCAGCACATCTAAGCAGATCAGGGCTATGTCGAAAGCCAGCCATGTCTGGATATAGTGAAGAGCGATCTTTCCGCGCGACAGAACAAGCGCACCCTTCTTGTAGAATGCCGTGTTAAAGTTCAGCGGCACATCCATAATCCAGAAACACATGCTGAGTATGAAAACCACCCGAAGGATACAATTTCCTGTGCCGACCTGGCAGTCATCCGCTACATCCCATGCGATAATCACGGGCAGCGTGAAAGCATCAACGAGAATAAATGTGAAGCCGAGTGCATCCCAAAGCAGCTTAAACGTGCTTGCCGGTAGGATCGGCTTCATGCCACGGAGTTCCCGAACGGCGGGGAAGAGGTCGCTGGAGCCTCTTTTCTTGATAACATTCCTTTTCGTCTTTCGCGCTGCCACAGCAGCCACGGACACGTTGTCCACTCGCTGTGTTGACAGCTCCATCCATCTGCCATGCAAGCGTACCTCCTGTCCATCTTGCTTCACCCCGCATGATACGACATAGCGCCTGTTGGAACCGTCCCCACTTACCTTTTCCTTGCCGGAGGCGTCAGCGGACTTCATGCCTTGACTTGCCACAATGGCAGAAGGCTGCATGCTCCTTTGCTTGTGGAGGGCGCCTAGGCTGCAAGAGTCGCGTGAGGCTTGCTCCACAGGCTCCACCACTGCCTCTGAGGGCTTTGAGGTCGGAGGTGCGATCGCTGGTGTCTGTGGAGGCGGCGCCATCAGCGCAGTCTCGAGAGACTCCAGCCTTTGCTGCATCCTTGTGAAGAAGGACTCCTGGGCTCGGAACTCTTCGGCAAACGGTGCTCGGCAGTGTTTCGAAGCAGCAGCTGAGTTCTGCGAGTTTCTGGGATTTTCTAGGGGATTTTCTAGGATACCCAACATCACACGCAGAACAAGGCTGGGCAGTGCATCAAGCTCTGAAGTGTCGATGGCCGATGCAGCATCCTAGCATGCATAAGGCGGCAGTTGGTCCAATAAGAGGACGACAAGCAGACAAAAGATGACGAAGACGATTGTGAGTGTCAGCAACTCAGCAAAACGGAAAAGCATAGCGACGGTGTCAATGATGGCATTGCTGTTGTGTTGTTCAGCAGGCACTTGCCTGATGTTATGACTTGCCGCAGAAAGAAACAGACCTTAAGGCCCTAAGATCAGGCCTATCGCCTCAGACGGGGGCCTTCAGCTTCATGCTGCCACTCCCAAGTACCAGTCACTACTGGGCCCCTGGGCCTCCTTGACTTGATTGCACGTCCGAGGCGCCAGTTCGTCCCGCACGGCATCAACTGCTGCTGCTGGGCTGATGTCGAAGGCTTCCGAGTACACCGGCTCTTCATCGCTTTTGGATGAGCTCCACGGAAACTGCACCATGGCTCATTCCAGACAGAGACGGATCTCGATATGCTATCCTCAATCCTTCAGGTTCTTCTGGACTTGTTGATCCTAGTAGCGCTCAATGGAAAGTTGCCGCAGTTGCAAGTTCATGCTTCAACCCGGACATGCCACTGAGTCTGCAAGCAGCGCAGCAACAAAGTCGTGTAGCTGAAGGCAAAAGCATGTTGTAGCGTCGCACGAACCACATGCAATTGAGCCCCCGTCCTACTATATTCCATGGCAATGCACGGGCAAACAAGCCATTGGTGCCGCGCAGAGCCTAGACGAGGAAGATCGCACAAATCGCAAAGCTTTGCCTAGGCGTGCGGTATTCAACTCCAGGTCGATTCCTTTTTTGCAGCTATTCTCCAGGTAACTACGCTCCTTCTTGCTGCATCTTGCTTGCAATAACTCGATGAAGGACAGCGGCCGTAGACTTGGGTTCGCATGTCTGCTCAAAGGCAGAAATCTGTAAACACACACACACACATGTTGCAAACGCTATGTACCTGCACTGACTCGTATTGCATGGCAGCGTGCCTTTCCGCAGCTGGCCAAAAGCTTCAGCGGTCCCTAGGACGTGGGCCAAGAAGGTGAAGACCAAGTGGAAAGTGCACACGCAGCATTCTTTTAGCACTTGCGCTCGACGACGTCAGGCGAGGTTTGGGACACCACACGCAGCAACTACAAGTAGCCATCGTAAGTCACAGTCATTGTCTTCGATTCCGAAAAGCCCGACCAGCGGCTGAGCGCGTGGCTTCGAGAGCTGAGCTGCAGATTATTGAGAACCTGCGGTCAGCCAGATCGCTTGAACAACGAAAGATCGTGCAACCAATTAAGTCAAGTAATGTGGCTTGAACTGGCTCATGAAGTCGTATTCTGAGGGACAACCTCTGAGTACGTTCGTCTGGAATCGTTCAGAAACGACGTACAAACAGCGCAGGCACAAGTAAAAGTAAGTTGTGTACAGGGTTTGCCCTATCTTAATTATCAGCCGGGTTCGGTGTGACCCGTACAGGCGCACACATCCTACAGACTTTCGAATGAATCACAGCTCGACCCTTTATTGCAGCCGCCGGCTTGGGGGGAGCAACGTGCCGGCCCCTGGTCTCAGCATGACATGGGTCCGATGGTGGAGTTTTGCCCTGACGATTGCTCGGCATCTGGAGAACACACTCATCACAGGAACAAAACCCTGGGCGAGTCGATTGAAGCGGCAATGAGAAACAAATCCTTGAACGGGGCCTCAGATAGTCTGATCCAGTTAGGCTGGACACAGATCTCAGGTCAACGACCTCGGTGCAGGAAAATTCCAACTCCTACGGTGTGGGCTCAGGATGTGTCCCTCCAAGTTGGTGCAAGCGGCCAAGGAATCTGCATCTCTCCGCTTCGGGATAATCGACCTTATCACAAATCTTGATCAGCAACTGCCCGGCGCGCCCGACTCTCACTTCTTAAGTTCCTCTGCGCCAGCTCGTGACAGTCCGCACACTTTTTCGCCGGCCCAGTCTTGCAAGCCCATACTGTGGAAACAGCAGACCTCCATCGAGGCCCGCCCAATGCATGGGAGCTTGGCTCGCAGCAGGTCCAATGTCGAGGGACTAGCGTGAAACATTGTTCGCCACAACTAGGATGAAATCATGCACGGAAGGCACGGAGGCAGGTGGAAGAAGACAGTGGCCGCTTGGCGACCTTTTTCAGAGCCTTCGGGGCATCGCGTGTGTTCCCGTTGCAGCAGTCGTGGATCCAACTGAACAAGCTAGGCCTCCTGACGGGGTCCAATGGGGTCCAAGAAGATCAGGCGCTCACACCTCAGTTCATGACCCGCCTTTGCGCGCATGTGTTTCCGAATCAATCTCTAAGAATCTCTAAAATCCAAAAACGTCCACTACTGTCAAGGATGCGCTGGCCACAATGTTGCCACAGCTGAACTTAGCCGTTTCGGTTGCCACTCTTCGCACCGTTGCTAGTTGCCTGAAATCGTTCCTCCTACCTCGACGACGTGTCACAGCTGCAAGTACTGTCGTGACAAGCACTGGTGCGCCCATCAGTACGAGCTTAGTTATGTCATTCGCAGGTGTCGAGTAGTAGCAGTCGTCGTCGTCTTCGTCGTCGCGGTCGTTGTCGTGGTTGGTGGTGGTGGGGTGGTGGGCTGGTGGGGTGGTGGTGTAACAATAGGAGGAGGAGGAGGAGGAGGAGGAGGAGTTGTAGTAGCAGCTGCAGCTGCTGCTGCTGCTCCTCCTCCTCCTACTACTACTACTACGACGACGACTACTACTACTGCAACTAGTAGTAGTAGTAGTAGTAGCAGTAGTAGTAGTCGTAGTAGTAGTAGTCGTAGTAGTAGTAGTAGTAGTAGTAGCAGGAG